GGCTGACCTGTGCTCTCTGCACTGAAAAGCAGCTCCTGCCTTTCTTGCTGTGTCCTCTCTGGCCCAGTGCTTTTTCTTTTTTAACCCCAAATAATTTTTCAAAGCAGCCTCCTGGCCGGGAGTGCTGAGTGCTGGCCTTAGTGAGGGCTGGCTGGGATGCAGAGACCCAGGCTTGACCCCATCTCTGGTCCTCAGGCCAAGCTGGGCTCATCTTTGGGTGAATTCATTTCAAGCTGAACTTTGTGTGAACCTGGGCCCGAGGGGAAGGGAACCCGACAGAGCAAGGCTGACAGAGGCAAGTTCTGAGCAAACCCATCAGCCTGAGTAAATATTGAACAAGTCCATGTGAAGGCTGGGGTTGAAATGGAGCTGTCAGACCAGTGTAAACTGAAAGGATAGGTGAGGCCTCTGAAGAGCATGGAAACATTTTGTACACTCACTTCTGCAATTGTTCCTTCCACCCAAGCCCTTTGCCCCAAACCTCATTTCACCTGCCTGAGAGGCTAAAGCAACCCTGAAACTGATCGGTGCTGAAATATCTGTGTTGGTGGGTTTGAATGGCTGAGGGGCAGAGGGGTGAGGAGGGGGACAGCACCGTGGGGTGGCCCTTTCAGTGCAATGAGCCCAGAGCATTGCAGCCAGGGTCAGGCATGAAACAATAGATTGGAGGTCCCCGGCTCAAATCCAGGTGACCTATGCAGCATCAATCCTGAAAAATAAATATATTATATATTTGATACAAATGCAAGTGAAGTACATTGTCTATAAATTTATATAATACAAATAAATACAAAACTGCCCAGCTCCCAGGATCTAGCCTGACTGTGCCACCAGGGGAAGGGCGCTTGAGTCTCCAAGGTCTCCTACCCAGTGGGGACCTGAGGGCAGCTGCACTCAACCAGTGCTTCCCATGGCTGCTTTGTCAGTTCTCCAAGGATTTTAGTGACACCTAAAAATGTATTTGTGTCCAAATGTTGAGAAAACTTAACAGGCATGGAAGCCTCTTCTGGTTTACCTGAGTTAGGGTGTACCACCTCCCTTGGTGATGTTGGTGTATAAACAGGTGCATGGGCACTTTGCTGCCTTGGGGCCACTCACAAAAAAAGATGGACCCAACTCTGTTTCAGTTCTGACTCACTCGCTGTGTGATGGAAATATCTCATCCTACTCCATTTTCTTCTGGGAGATGGGGAAGAGGTGGTTTCTGACTTCTGTGTGAAACAAGTCTGGAGAAACCCAGAAAGCTTCCTCCCCTCTTCTCCTCCACTTCATGGCATCAAAGACTTTTAGGGGCCAGTGACAGCCCAACCACAGTACTGTCACAGAGGAGGCTTTGTCCCCAGATAGGGACCCCCAAGAACTTTTCACACTTTCAGTGCAAAGAGGCTCTGGGAGCAGAGTTAATAGCACCCAGCAAAGTGGAGCTGAAAGTAAGGAAGTCTTCAAGCTACTATTACTATTATTATTATTTTTCTTTTAATAGAATGTCCTCTTCCAAGATCAAAAGAGCCTCACATTGTGAGAACAAATGCTTTAGGGAGAAGAGAAACATTTCACACCAAGGGGTAAGGAACAGATGGCCCTGGAGTTGAGGCCACGCCAGGCCAGAGCCCCGGGTGTGCTCCTTGGGTGTCTGCTCTGGGAGCAGAGCCAGAGGAGAGGAACTCTGGGCATCTCTTCCCTGTCCCCTCCTCCCGCAGAGGGATAACAGCTCCAACACGGTGACCGCCATTAATAATTGACACGGTTACATTTCTTTAACTGGGAATTTCCCCTTCCTTTGGGATATTAAAAGAATAAATCTCCATTAAGATGTGGCTTTGTGTGAGAGTGTACAGGGGGACCTGGCTAATTTTCTTGCTCATGAAAAATGCAATACCAGGGACCCATGGACAGACACACACACAGAGGTGTGGGAATACACCGGATTATAAATAGCCCTGACGTTGTGTATCATTTATGTAAAACAAAGGAGTGTGTGTAGACCTCACAATTGTGATAAAACCCAACTACTGCGAGAGCGCTGAGTCTCGACAGGGACTTCTGTACCCAGGACTGCAGAGACACGTGTGCCTCTTTCTGCCCGTGTGCCATGGGAAGGAGCCCACGTTCGTGTCCTGTATGGACACAGGGTCCCTGTGTGATACTGAGGTACCGGTGCCCGCTCTTTATCTGCTTCTCTGGGTGTGGGGCAGACACGGGTGTCCCTCACAGCTCCATCTGTTACCAGCCAGGGACCCCCAGCCGCGGGTGTCCTGGCGTGGCCTTTCCAGCCGGCTCCTGCTTCACAGCAGTGGGTTTAGGGCTCTTGAGACAAAAGGGAGCGTGAGAAACTTGGAGGGAGAGCGGAGGGGGGAAAGAGATTAGCGGGTTACATATGTAAGGGCGCATCGGCACCGTCTCTGAGGACTCTTCCGGAGATTCCCTTTGAGTTTCAAATGGGAGCTGGGAGCCTTTGTTGTGCCCGACACACTGGCACAGCAGTACCCTCCTTTTTGTCCGGGCCTTTCCGCTCTCCCCGGCTCCGACGGGGCGGGCCCGGCGCTGCCCCTCACCTGGGACCGAGTGGGACTCCGGGCGGTGGGGGAGCAGAGCAGGGCCCAGAACCAGAACCGGGGCCGAAAATCGCCTTGATGGAAACCCACGAGCTTTCTGAAGCTCAACGCCCTGTTTCGATGACACAGTTTAAATCGCGTTGATTCAACAAAACCTTCAATCGCATCGATTCAACCAATAGATTAGACCAAGCTGACTCATACCCAACAGGTTATAAAGTCAATCCCGCTGCCGCTCCTGATCTTTTGCAACCTGCCAGCGTAACAAAATCCTCTTGTCACCTTTTCCTCCCTCTTTTTCTTTTTTTTTTTTTCCCTCCTCCTTATCTCTGAGCTAATTGAACACTCAAAAACCTTTTCTCTCTAGCCAAAGAGGTGTATTAGATGGAGGAAGATACTATCGCCGGGGAAGAGCGATGTTCTGTCGCCCTGGGACCCCCGGCCGAGCCGCACTGCGGGGCAGGGTGCCCGGGCTGGGCTGCAGCTGCAGCAGGTACTTTGCTTATTCCTAGCCCCACTCACGCCCCCACCCAAAGGGTTTGCAAATCTGACGAAGCCAGAACAATAGTTTCTTCTGGCAGCCCCTCTGTTTACTTGTTTAGAAATCCCAGAGGCGTTTCGAGGTAAAAAGGTCAGAGCTGTACCGGGGGTCGCCGCTCCTCCCTCCCCGCCAGGCCGCGCTCCGGTACCCGCGCCGGGCCGCGGGCTCCACCCCCGCGAACTGGGCTAATGTCTCAATTATCCTGTGGAAAACACCCTTTCGGGGAGCGGTTTCGGAAGCTGAAGGAAGGAAACTAAAGTCACACTTCGTTTTGATTTCGATTTGGATCGCCCTCATGGAACCGTTCCTTATAAATGAGAAAACTCGCTTTGCCCCCAGCCCGAACCCCAAGTTCGTTCGGGTTCGTGTTGCTGCCTCGGTGATGCAGATCTGCTCCCGTGCCGAGATGCTCACACGGGCCTCGCTGAACTGGGAAAGAGCTGCACGTGGGGAGCTCCACGCTTCGCTCCGGCCCCACTGGGCTCTGAACGCCCGCGAAGCGGAGGCGAGAGCCGGGCCCGATCCTGCCGGTGCCAAAGGGGTGTAGTAGGGTACCCGCAGGAAGCAGGATCGGGAGTTTTGTTCTGGAGTTTCGGCAGCAGCTGGAGACCTTTTCCTTCCTCCTCCCTTCGAGCTCCCCCCGCCCCGTGTTCCACATTTCTCTGGACGAGACAGATTTTCATTTCGCTTAGAGTCGAGAGGACTTGCATGTGGAAAAAGTAAACTTTATTAGACTGAGGTAGTTTCATTTCGAGATACAGAGCACGGGGAAGGGGGTGGAGGGGAAATGGGAGATTCCGATTAAGAAACCTATAGTTTTTCTCGATGACGCTTTTCCCTTTCAAACAATCTTCAAAAAAGTTGCCGTGGTTTTCAGTCCGTCCTACTCTACAGTTTCTCGTGGGGAAGGGAAACGTTTCAGCCATGGTTAAATAATGTTCTTATCGGACTCCGATAAGCCTAAGAGGGTAGGGGTAGAGGGAGCCCTGCTACTCCGCTCCAAGACTTCAGGCTATCGAGACGTACAATAAATAGCAGCCAGTGCATCAGTGCCCTGGGTGGGGGCCAAGCCCCGCGGCCCCCTCGCAGCCTTCTTCCCGTCCACCATCACACCTCCTACGACAGTGACCGTTGCCCAGAGCACCCCGAGTTCAGCCTTCGCCTCATCTCGTTTGCTCTGAGAGCACAACCCTCCCTCGCCCCGGGTCCGTAACAGTCACCGTCGCAGAGTATGTAGAAAACCCTGTAAAGCGGTAATAGTGCAAACTGGTAACGGAGGAGTTGGCTGGTTTGGGGGTTTTTTTGCTTGATGTTTTGGGTCTTTGCAGATGCCTCTCGCATCTTGGGCGCTTCAGATCTCATTCCGAGAGACACATACAGTAAATAAAAGGGGAAAAGGGGGGGAAAAAATGCCCCAAACTCTTCTGACAATCTCGCGGGGAGGAAAAATAAATCAAATGTAGGATTCTTGCGGGCAAAAGTCGTTGTGCACATTTTTTGAAACGGGAGAAAGCTAAATTCGTTTTCAAGTTTCTGTAGTTGAAAGTGCAGTTCCTATAGGGGAGGGAGAAGGGAGAGGGAAAAACGTCCCTGAGACAAACGCCTATTGCTAAGGATATACGAGGACACGGCGGCTCCTTCGGAGTCCAGTGTTTTACAGAGGGTCTATAAATTAATTCAGAGAGAGAACTACAAGCGGGAGAATTGATATCACACGTTGTGGAGACAGCAGGAACCCGAAGGACCCCTCGGAGGGAAGCGTGGCCTTGCTGCCACGCGTGGGTGCAGATGGGGCTGTGCGCGGGAGGTGCGTGTTCGTGCGTGTGTGTGTTGGGGTCTGCAGGGATCAGCTACCCCCCCGGGGCAGCCCCGGGCTGATCTCTGTGCCCCTGAGGGGACACGGTTCAGGAAGACACCGAGCTGGGGGAGGCCTCAGGTGAGGTGCAGTTGGACTGATCCGAGGCTTCACTCGCTTCCTTCGCAGACCTAGAGGCAGCAGCTGGAGCTGGATCCTCCTTTTCTCTCTTCTTCTGTTTCATCCGCCTGTTCTGGAACCAGATCTTGACCTGGGTTTCGTTGAGCTCCAGGGTTGCGGCGATCTCCACTCTCCGGGCCCTGGTGAGGTACTTGTTAAAGTGAAACTCCTTCTCCAGCTCCGTCAGCTGCTTGGTGGTGAAGTTGGTGCGGATGGTGTTGGGCTGGCCCAGCAGTCCGTACTCCGACACTTTAGCTGTTAAGGAGCAAACACCAACAGGGCAGGAGCAGCCAGAACAATTCCCTCCCTGGGCCGGGGGGGCTGTGGATGCGGGCTTTCCCCCTCTTCTCCTGAGCATTTGGTCCCTCCACCGCCCGCAGCTTCCTGCTCCCTCTCGGATCCCTAGCTATCCCTGGCTTCCCGATCCAGGGATACAACCTGGATACAACAGGAATAGACCACCCCAAGCTCTGCAGAGCTGCCTCATTTCCTTTCCTTTCCATCCAGTCTCCCCAGTTCCTTGCGAACTGCCATGAAAGTTGACCGTGCGTGCGAAGGAGTGGAAGGGGAGGGACATGAAGAGGGGAGGAGGACGGAAGATGATGATTTAAGGAAGATTGTGGAGAAGGAAGTTGAACAATAGAGGGGATGGAAACCACTATCGCGGAAGAAGGAGGAAGCCCGTAGTATTTCCTCTTTCAAGCTGGGCTTAAATTGCTTTGGGCCTGCGGGAAACTGAGCTCAGGGACCCTCCATCAGATGTGTCTGGAAAACCTCCAGCTGCCTTTTCCGCTGAGCTGAGTTTATTTCTAGAATAAAAACTTCATACACCAAAACCCCAAAACAAACCAAATCCGTGCTGCCCTGGAAGATGAGCCCAGTTACCTTGGGTACAAGCCCTGGGGAAGGCAACCTTTCCTTGCAGCGCTGCCCCCCCGCCTCCCTTTGCCCCCTCCCCCCCGATGGGGACCCAGCTCTGCGCTCCCCAAACTCACCTGTCTTGGGCGGGTTCCTCTTCACTTTCATCCAGTCGAAGGTTTGCGTGGCGCCGGCGTTGGGGCACGGCTCGGAGGGGCACGCAGGGTCTTTGTCCTCGTTTAGAGAAGGCGAGAGGTTGCTGTAAACGCCGGGCAAGTAGCTGGGCTGCTCCTGCCCGTAAAGGTGTTGTGGCTGG